AAACTCTCAAAGCGGCTATGACACGTGGATAGGAGTTGTGTAGGCCTGTCAACCCATTGTTATCACTGTTTAACTCGAAACCTTTGCAGGCCTACTTTTGCCAAAGTTCCTTTTTTCAACCAAATCAATGTTCATTATTTATAAAATAAGGTAAAATTTTCAAAAAAATGAAAATAAAATATTAAAACACGGGTGTGTTATAGGGAAATAGAGATTTTTAAATAAATGAAACCATCAAGGTGTCAATCCCCAAAAGGCATGGACTCCTCAGCAACCTTTTCACAGGAAATGGTTTAATCCAGGGATCCTAAATCAAAAACTTTCAATTTTAGATTTCATGTCTGTCAAGAGTGTTTCCTTGTAGTCACGCTTCGGGAATTGCTCCTCAGTTTCTTTTTGTTTTGTTGTACATCACTTTTTCACTGTTTTGCCCATTATTGTTGACCACCAACCTAAAGCGTGTGCCCCTAAAACGTGACTGTAACACTATTGCTTTCCCACAAAGCTCCTGACCAGTTTACATACTGTGAACTCCAGGGGTTCTGTTACTTGGCAGCTCTTTAAGTTGACATATCCCTCTGAGAGGGTGTGACTTGTTTATAAATCTTTAGAAGGTGAAAACTCACACTCATTCTGCAAGAGAATCCCTCCTCTTTAAACAAATTAATAGGGTATGTAGAATCGATGGTTTTCCATGAAATTTGACCAGAACATTCACTGATAGATAAGGAACAAAAATGTGTTGGCGAATTCTCTGATTTTGAATATTTTTCTTGTGGCCTGCAGCCTCTAAAGCAACATATGTTTTGCAAATTTTTTGATAGTGGAACTTGACAGATCTATAAAATGATAACCAATAAAAAGAAAAGAAAATGCTGATACCCTTTGAGAGATTGATGCTTTCAATTGTGATTAACACTGCACAGTTATTTTGCATCAATGATYGCATTTGATACCCAATTAATCTGCCGGATTTTCAGTCKGTCACTTTGGCKTTAACRACTTCTGCCACCTTATGAACAAAGTCGGCAAAACGGAATACAATTTTACAGAATTCTACATTTCATTAGCTTTCTACTGATATACGGGTTTCTTTGAACACAGTGCTTCTACGAATGAATTTTTTTCTGGATAACACCTGTGAAGGTTTGGAGTAACCTTAAAGTTACCTTAAGGCAGCTCCCTGTAACCACTTCTGGTAAAGTTGAAAAATATTTTCCAATTTGATTGACTTTGCCGTAATTGATGCATTAAATGCTTAACAAAAATAGCCCACATTCAGTTGAAGCTAAGACCCTTTCTGTTCAAGATCGTAAAACAAGTTAGAACAAAATTCTCATAGGAAAATCAAGATCCGCGAACATTGGTAAGCTACAATCTACTGATGTTGATATTTACATTGTTACGTAAATTTGTGACTCTAGTGAGAGCTATACTTAGATTTTAACCGCTCTCAAGCCTCTCTATTAGCATGTGCACATGGCATAATCATTGTGATTACTTTCTAAGTTAGAAACGCAACGATACTTAGTGATTTCTTGATGT